TCAACGCATTCCTCGAAGATCTTTCAGTTTCACTCCACAACTCAGTGAGCTTCCAGCCTCATTCCTTGCCCTTCCAACTCTTCCTGCTTTACAGCAGATCTCTGAGTGTTGTTATTAGGGGAAAAATTCCACCCACCCATTACAACTTAAAGAGTTCACTCTCCCCTTCAAGCCTGTCAAAATGCCTCTGACATCCCAGAAATGCCCAGCCTTCAGCTCAAAATGGCTACAAAGCTCCCTTTATTCCTCCCCACCCCTTCCCAGCTTCCAGCATCACTAGATACCCTTTTGTTTGATTAAGACTAATCATACCTTAAGGACACACAGTCAGATAAGCAGCTGCTCAAGTGACTGAATATCAACTCTGCTTTCCAAAAGAATGGAAATTTTTTTCCCCCACATGGGAAAGTAACAAACAAGAATGGTTCAGTGACCTACTAAAGGGGTGTGTGGAAAAACATGAGTAAAGCCAAGACCTGAATTTTGGGTTTCTTGGCTTTAATTACTCTTGCCACTCAGCAGAAAGAAATAAAACCAGGTAAGGGGGAGAGAACTGAAAAACAACATATTAATTTCTGTTGCCATTCAAAGCATACCATAATCATGCAGCACAAAATCTTCACTAAAAATAATACCAAATCTCAAAGTTCAGCCAAATTTTTTTCAGATCATGCAAAAGTTCTTGAGAACTGGCAGTCTGAGGACAAACTAGCTCCCTCTTCCCTATTTCAGCAATCCATCAAAAATTATGATTACAAAATCCATGTTGTATTTAAGCCAGAAAATAACATCTGTTTACTGAGTAAAAACACAAGATGAGAACAACAACAAAACATGTAGATTAAATGGTAGATTAAAAGAGGATAACAATGCCCTTTTTTAATGAAAAAGGTGACTACTGTGCCCCACACCTCTATAGCAACACCCTGCCCATCCAGGTCCATAAAAAACAGTCTGCAGAGACACCAAAATAACCAGAAGCAAAACAAACAAAATTTCCCCTGTATCTAAACCTCCGTCCACAGAATTTGTCTGTTCTTCCTGTAGTCATTTGTAACCCTGAAGACACCAAAAACTTAATTTGAACCAAGGCCTTCTCACACCACCACTACTAAATGTTTACTTTGGCAAAGAAATGTGTCTCGGAGACAGGAACAGCTCAGCAATCTTTCTGCAAACCATCCTGAGGTTCAAGGTTGTCAAGGTGGAATTTCAAAGTGCATCTTACACAGAGCTTAAAAGCTTGTGACTATATCAAGCATTTGACATAAGCAGGGTAAGAGGCTCAGTAGTGATGTCCTGATTCATACTGCACCCTGAATACAGCATCCTTGCTTTGGAGAGATCCTCACTATGGTCAAAAAAATATTTGTAACAGCAACTCTGCTCAAGTTTGGCTAAATTCAGAGGTGAATATAGATGCTTTTATCAGAGCAGCTTCTACAAGCAGCATGTGAAATATGTAGCTGAATTCTGGAGGTTTTTAATCTCCAAGTGCTATCAGCAGTGCTGAGAACTTCCCCAAACACTGCACTAACAAAGAATGTGTGGCAAAGGTGCTCTGGAAACAAGCTGACCCCTAACGTCAGTCCACTGAGGAAGGGAATATTTTTGGCTTCATCTACATGAAGTGAAGGAGTCATATTGCTAAAGAGGAGAGATGAAATCTAGAAATGACCTGGCAAGCTGTCCACAAGGCAGCTTTTGTCCCAGTTCCCAGACCCCACTCTCCTGCTCCGTGCAGCTTTAGCAAGCAGGATCCAGAGGGTTTTGGACAAGGATCTCATGCCAACCTTAACACTCTTACCTCAAGTACAACACCTGGCATGTTCCTTAAGCTCTTAATAAGAGGTGAGAGAACTCTGAGGCTACTTAAGAATAAATGAGCCCACAAAGTCATCTTCATCTACCCTACCACGGCCTATACTAAGATAAGCAATGACTGACATAAAAATATATAATAGTTTAAAAAGAACACCACCCAGTGTGAGTATTATCATTATCATATCCTAACAAAGAGAAAAAATTATTCTGCCCCAGTCTCAGGGAAAAAAACCTTCATGATAGGCTGTTGTTGAAACATTTCTGAATACAGTTCAGCTTCGGGAAGTTATTTCTGAGTAATGTAATTATTTGGATAATGGTAAAGTTATTAGAGGGCTTTACTAAATTAAATATCAAGATGACATAACATTTTACTTAATTCTGTGTATTGTAGGTCATGTACCCAGGAGCACAGCTTCTCATTAGAATGAGCAGTGTCGAAGGTCTTTCTCATTTTGAGAAGAACATTTTTTAAGATCTTTTTGCCTGCCTACAACAGGTCAATTCTAGCTACAGACACATCAAGGTCTGCAAGGTCACATCAGTTTAAAGAGCTGAGATGAAGGGCTAAAAGGGGAAAACCAATGTTCTTTTTACCTCTGTCAGTGTGGTACAATTCCCATAATCAATCTCATCAGAAAAACAGGTTACATTTAGATAAAGTACAGCCCTCGTGACACCTGTTGTAAACCCCAGTGTTTATAAGTTACTTATTAATTTAAAAAATTGTTTTAATCTACTGACTGTACAGGGGAGTATGCCATAGGCATATCTTCCCCTCTGGAATGGCTTATTTGAAATGAGACTTTTCAAGCTGTGCAACTGGATACGTGACTGAAACAGCTGTGATGAAAATTAGAATCATGTTGGTGTGTACTGCTCAAAGGCACAAGGGAATCACTTCCCTGGTGTTCAGAAATAACTTTTTTTTGTATCATAAAAAGTTTGACCATTAACAGCACAAAGCCAAACTCAAAAAAATTTACAGCACAACTAGAAGAGTCCAGGTTACACCACGAATCCGTGATCCAGCATAAATTTGGTCACTTCCAAACAAACCACCCGAGGTAATGACCCAGGTAATGACCGAGGTAATCTAGAAAAGCTCTGCTTTCTAGTCCATCCACCAAACTAATGGGTATCACACGTTTTACTGCTTCTCTTTAAAACTTTAAACACTGAAATACAGCAATGAGTGTCATATGTAAATAAATATTACACAGAGAGCTCTGTTACAGCAGCTTCCTTGGGTTTGTGTTGAACACGGCTGCATCCCCCAGCTCTGCAGGCAGCTCATGCCCCCAGAAAGCAAAATCCACACATCTTCACCTTCCTGCGTCACAGTTTTTGCTGCTGGTTTCCACACCACCAGTTCTCTTCTATAGTGAATTTCTACCCAGCAAAGGCAGCATGGAAAACATTAACATGGAATCTGTGTGTTTTGTCAGTGCTGGATCTGACAGGCAATAATGAGAAAGGTACAGCTGAGGCAACAGCCACAAAAACATCCCCATAAACCAACCAAGCTCAAATCCAACCTGAGGACAGAGAGAACTACAACCTACAGGCTCAATCATTTGTTAAAAAGACATTTCCCATTTCACGGCCACGTTCAACACCTCAAATCAGATTTTCCAGAATTACTACAATCCTTTTTAGACCCAAGTTTACAATTGGTCTGTTTGGCAGGTTTAAAAATTGTATCCCAAAGCTGCTGAGTAAGCAGGCTGGATCTGGGCAGGATGCTTCAGGGCTGCAACTCAGCAAACCCTAAGGTGCCCAAGGACAGAAGCATTAAGAATGTGCTTTTCTTTGGCAGCCTCTAAGAAGATATTTTCTGCACCTTGCCTCATGCTACCACCAGCAGGCAGGATAAAATTATTTCTTCTGAAATAAATTTGGTGCTCAACTTATTCACCTACATCAGCGCTCAGTACTGTCAATCAGTGTAACAGAATTATTCCTTTGCCCCAGATGTGACCCTCAGTTTCAAAATCCCAACGACATTCTAGTGGAAGCACAAAATAAAACAAAGATGACAGAGGCCGAGGAGCACATGCACATGAGCAGGCCAGTCCTGTCCTTCACAACCCCTGCGGCTCCTTTGCAAGTTCCTCCCAGCTTGTACAATAAAAGGCTTACTTTTTTTTTTTTTTTTTGGTAAGTGCAAAGTACTTAGACCCACTGTTGCACACACCTTATCTGAGGTTCAGTCTCTTGCCAGTAACTAATAACGTTCTTGGCCAATATTATCAAAATTTTAATATTACTTACATCTTCAAGCTACCGTACAGAACAGATAGTTCTATTGTTTCCTCTTCATTGAGCAATACTTAAATAGATTAATTTGGGGTGGGCAAAGTTAATTTTCTTTTTGCGAGCAAACGTGGTTCCTATAGATGAAAATAAATATTTCCGTTGATATGCCAAGAGGCATTTTCCATCAACCCTTTTAATCAACTTCCAAAATGCGCTCAGCAGAGAACATCAGATTGGATCCGGTTTCTGCTATATCACACGGAACAAAGACAGAGCAGACACACATCTTTCCAAAACACTTCTACTCCACAGCTCTGCCTCCATTTTGGATGACAGACAAAGGGGATAAATGGGAATATAACGCCTTACTGAAGAGATGAAAAGCACAACTGAAGTCTGAGCAAAAGGTGCAGATAAACCCAGGAAGTGCTGCTGCCAGCTGCAGCCACCACAGGAACAAAGGAAACAGCGACAGAGCCCGCTTGCTTGACTTTGTTATAAAAATAAAATTTGGGGAGGGGAAAAAGGAAAATTGGCCGGGTTTCACATCGAGCGAGGCACTTTGCCCTTTAAGGGTTTCTCTTTAGCACTGGAGCCTTCCACTCGCTCCAGCCTGGCCGCGGGATGCTGAGGGCTTCCAGCGGCTCCAGCAGCCAGCGGGGCGAGCGGGACCCCAGCCCTCAGCCCTCAGGGCGGGGAGCAGCGACACCCCCCGCTCGCCCCCACCCACGGGCCCCGGCCTGCGGGGAAGGGCCCGCCGGGACCCCCAAGTTCGCCGAAAACAAAAGCGGCACCGAACCCCCGCGTAAGGGCCGGGGGGTCCCCGCTCGGCTGCCACCCCACCCCTCACACGGTCCCGCTCCCCGGCGCGGTGCCCGGCCGGGGCTGTCCTCGCTGCCGGGGCGGCTCGGCGGTACCTGTAGGCCAGGGACATGCACTCGAACAGCTTCGTGAGGGACGCGTCGATGCTGAGGCGGCCGCCGGCGCCGCCGCCGCCGCGGGCCGCCCCGAACTGGTAGGTCTGGCAGGTCTGCTCGTTGACCGTGTCGAAGTCGTAGCCCTTCTTGGGCGGGTGCTCGCTGTGCGGCGACGAGACCATGAAGTGCCCCGAGTGGATGATCTGCGGGCCCGGGGGCTGCCCCCGCCGCGGCCCGCACCGCCGCCCCCCGCCCGGCGACGCTCCGCCGTCGTCCGTGTCCGACGAGTCCTCGTCGGGCTCGGTGCGGGGGGACAGCGGCCCCGCCGCCCCGAGCAGCCGCGCCGGCCGCATGAACACGTCGGCGGCCATGGCCCCGCTGCCGCCGCGGCCGAGCCCGCGCCCGCTCTGCGCCGCCACCGCCCCGCTCCGCCCCGCGCCGGCCCCCGCCGCGCTTAAAGGCGACGGAGCGGCCCCGCCGCCGCCCTGCCCCCGCCGGGAAACGGGGGCGCCCCGAGGCTCCGCTAGGATCACCGAAAAAAGAAAGAAAAAAAAAAAAAAAGGAAGTCGCTGCTGCCCTGTGCCAGGAATGTCCCCACTCCTTCTGAGGATGGCTGTTTTAAGTGATTCAGCGGGGACTTCCATCCAGCAGAAATTTTATTTTTTTTTTTTAACCAAACTACGAAATGTTCCACCTCAACACGAGGAACAGCTCCTTCACGTTGAGGGTGGCAGAGCACTGGAAGTGCCCAGGGAGGCTGTGGATTCTCCCTCTCTGGAGATATTCCAAGCACACCTGGATGGTTCCTGTGTCACCTGCTCCAGGTGACACTGCCCTGGGCAGGGGGTTGGACCGAGTGATCTCCACAGGCCCCTTCCAGCTCTAACGATTATGGAAAACATTCCTAAACTTAAGGGACTGTGAGGAAAACGAGATGTAGGGGACAGCCCAGAAATGGCTGAAGAATGTTGAGAGAACAATTGTGCTAGAAATACTTAAATTGTCATTAATACACTAAATTGCTTATACTTTTCCAGAAGCAGTTTGCAAGAAGCCAGGGCAGCAGAGAAGCTGGAGACCTGCAGTCACAGAGAGGTCAGGACACGGAGCTTCTGCTGCCAGGCTGGTGGCTCACACCTAACTCAGTACCTGCCCACTGGCACATAAAAGGAACCACAGTTGTTCCAGTGGAAGTAAAGGTCAGATTTCATCCTTCTCAAAAGCATAAAGGAAGCAATGGATCCTGTAGGTTAACGTAAAATCATAGCAACAGGGCTGTTGTGGGGAGAGAGCATCATCCTACAGCACAAAACCCCATACACATATGTATGTGTACACAAAGTCAAGGGAAAAGATCTCAAACTTGCCCTGCAGTGCAAACCTCCATGACCAGGGGAGCAGCTGGATCCTAGGACACACATTCCAAAGCATTTATACTAAATTGCATATATTATTTCAGTTTTAGGACCTCACACTTGAAATGAAAAAACAGGCTCTTGTACATAGCCACACTCAGGAGGGAAAAAGCTTCCAGACATTAAACAGCCACATGCTACTTTTTCTGGTGTGTTAAACCAGAAATAAGATCAAGGGAGTCTTAAGAGATTGAGAGCAACTCTTGGGCAAGAAGAGGCATCTCTGCAATATCCCAATTACGCCCATGCAATGATCTGACATTCCCCATTAGCATGGCATCAAGACTGATCCCTGTGTTTAGGGAAGGAGTGGTAGGTCAAACACTTCCCCACACATGAAAGCAACAGTAAGGAATGACCACATCATGTGAGAGCTGTCTCAGATCTTTAAAAACCAAAACTAGCATTCAGCTCTTGGTCAGCATCATACGTGACTCAAATTCTGAAGAAAAGGCCAGTCATATTTATCTTCAAATCTGAAGCTAAATATGACTGGTCTGGTTGCTGCTATCTTACATTAAAATTTGCTTAAAAAAAAAAAAAAAAAAAAAAAAAAGCAAAAAAAGTGCTGCCTCCCAGCAAGACACTCTGAGAATACTTTAAGTACCAAAAAAAATTAAAACATTTCAAAACAACATTCACAGTTTAACAATACCTATTAAAAGTTTCCCATGTAGTTTGTTAAGAACTAAACCTGAGCTAAAAAAATCACATCAGCAGCAGCACTGTATAAAGTACTTCCATGACAACAGCCTGTACACTGACCTCACTAAATTCTAAGCAAGCCAGTGTTTCCTCCTACAGGAAAAGACAGGTAACTTGTTAAAATAAAATCATTAGGTTGCAGTGCAATTTTCTAGGAAGAGTTAGGAGTACACCATCATTTAAAGAAAGGGCAGCAGCTTTAATCTACAAAAGTTCAGAGTTCTCTTCTCTGCCAGATGCAAGGAAAGGGGCATTCCTTAAAATAAATCCACTTAATTTTGGAGACAGACCTCTTGGTCTGCCCTTTTGAGATGAGCATTTAGGTGATCAGTAACAGTTCAATCCACTCCTGCTTCACAGCAAGGAATTCCAGGAGGCACAGGGAAACAGAGGCCACAGCATCTTTGGAGTATGCCTTTTCCCACTGTTTTTCATCAATCCACAGTTCAAGGTGAAACACAGGCCACCAGCTTCTGATGATGTTCCTTCAAGGAACAACATCAATTCCTTGAAATAGGCTTTTAGCACAGGAGGAATTCAACTGCAATACACACTGTGAACAGAGACATCCAAGCTGTTCAATGCCCACAGTGTATTCCACACCACTTAGTGGTGAGATTATCCTCCCAAATCTACAGACAGGAAGATAAGCATTCCCATACTGATGAGGGAAAGAGCTCAAGGGATCTTACTCACAGCCTGGGCTGGGGCTGAGTGTGGCAGTCCAGCCCAGCCGTGCCCCACTCCGTGCCCATCCTGCTCCCAGGAAACCACAGGGACAACCTCCCTGCTCCAGGCTGCCACTGCTCACTCCCTGGCACAAGCCTTACCTGTTCAGAGGCCTTTCCTTCTGGGACCCATCTTGAGTTACAGCCTTGCTTCTACTTGTCCTTTCCTCTCTCTCCAGTTCCACCCCGTACGGAACTCCTTGATACGTGTCTCCTGGTTTAATTCACTAATCTGGAGAAGGGAAAAAACCAAACGAAACCAGTTTCCTTCCCAGGTTAGTGAGTTTAAAGGGGCTGGTAAGGATGTTACCAGCACCCCAGTAAATGTGAGAGAGCCAAGGTGGGAGCAGGCTGGGGCTCGCCCCGCTGGGAGCCAGAGCCAGCAGAGCAGTCCAGCTGCCTGTGGAACTGCAGGCCACCTTGGGACAGAACACTAAAAATAAGCTGGACACTTTATATCCATCTTGAATGTAAAGAATCTTTCCAAAACTCTTCAGGAGTTTTACCCTTGCAAGCATTGGGCTCGAGCTTGTTTCCAAACTGAAGCACGTTTCCACACTCTGCCTTCCCTACCCCCTCCAATTTAAGGTACCACAACACATTAACCGAGCACCAAACGAGGAATTTGGTAAATGAATTATCTTAAATTACCAAATTATTCTGCAGATTGCTGTAATTACACTGGTCATATCTGTTTGTTGTTCTTACAACCACCACCTGCCCCTGCCCCACCACGCAATTATCAAGACACCTTTGGACTTCTCAAAGGTGGATCATTTTACATGTTACCAAACAAGACAACACCAGAGAATGCACATTTAGAAATACCATTTATAAAAACAGAAATTTATTGCAAATTAAAAAAATAAAAAACCAAAACGAACCAAACCGAGATTAAGTTTCTTGATAAAAATTATTCACACAGCATTCATGTTGTGATTTTTTATTTTATTTTGAAATGAAACCATTGTACATTGTACAAACCATAACTACCGATGGAATAAATAAGTGAAAAATTATACTGCTGTACAACACACACACACAAATCATAAGATGGAAAACGATTAGGTATTGAAGAAAACAAAATTCTTTACACCTTCTAACAGGCCCTTAGAGATAAAGAACATTCCAAAACATGACAATGCTTATGTATGAAGATAGCCACCCAAAACCGATATTTTATACTGCCTTGTTGATTTTATTTTTTGTTGTTGTTTTGTAAGTGCCAGCACTTTTTGGAATGTTTAACAACTACTTTCCCAAGCATAAAAATTCCAAGGAATAGTTCTGCTATAAAATGTTTGGCTGAGTAAATCGATTATCTGGAAGGCCTTCCCACATGTTCCACAAACTCAGCTAAATTACTTGCTTGCTTCTAGTTGCCTTTTTTTTTTTTTTCATATTTTTTGTTAATTTTATTTATTTATTTGTAACTGAAGCTCCAACATTCAGCATTGTAGCAAGGAAGCACTTCTTGATATTTGCACTATTTCTAAAACATCAGCTGTATGAGAACTTTCAGTCATCTTGAAAAGAATTACATCTCTCCTCCTGCTCCATCTCTCAATGCTTTCAATAAACCCTTTTACAGTGAGTTCATAAAACAAGTTTTGGGTAGAGATAGGTCCAAGCCAAAAAAAAGCTGGATTCAGATCTGGTTTCAAACCTCAGTGGATTTGAATTCCATGTTCTGGTTTGGTCCCATCTGTACTTTCTGGCATTAAAATGTGTTCAATCACATCCGTTGGCCCATAAATGTTATCAGGCACTTCAAAAAAAGACTAATAACAGTCTTATACACTATTTTGGATTTCTTCATACCAGATAATGTCAAAGTCTCTTCCTTCAGAGACTGACAATAACAGGTCTAAGGAACCCAAATCTATCTGCTTGTTCAGTTGTCTGTTGTCACTAGAATCTCTGGTTAAAATAAAAGATCTGAATGCATTCTGTAGAAGCTGTAAATAAAGGATTTCTACCTCAGAAATAAAGCCTCTAGGAAGATGGTTATGATGCCTTGTCTCATTAGCCACAGAACAATGAACAGTTCTGAGCAGAAGCCACAGGAGAGAAAAGGAAATTTATAATTAAACCTGGTTGATGTCAATAATGCCAATAAATGTTTCTATCTAATGAAAAATTTGAGGTATTTTTAGTGCTATTTATATATTTTATTTCTTCCTAAAGTACAGGAATTAGTTCCTAAATGAAAAGTCTATTTACTCCCTTGGAAACGTCTACAAAATGAAAATTAAAAGCTTGCTGCGATGCACCTGAAGGGAGGGATTAGTAAACACGACTACTTGTCAAAGGTGGCATCAATTTGTTTCGTTTTAGCATTAAGAATAATGAAAAGTTAGTAAATCAAAAATATTTAAAAGTTTGAATCTTTCTAGATTTGCCCATTTAATATATCAATAGAACTTCTCACAAAATATCACTTAAATCTGAATGTAATATACATACAAATCAATCATCATGGACCAGTTATCCACATTTTAGGCATACACACAATTCAAGAGAGAATTCTACCGTTTCATTGCATATATTGTGCAAATTCAG